AACAGTTGAGTCGCGCGTGCTCTTGAAAAGTCTCCGGCGCCATTTGTGTATCCATGTTCACGTTCAGAGGAAAGGAAAGGAAGCTCATGCCACAGTCGTGGTTCAAGACATCGATAGCATTGGCAGCAAAAAGATCGGAACAAACGCTGATTGCCAGGCGTTCGGCAAGACTCGGCAACCCAACCTGCTTCCTACCAAAATGTCCAAATTGTCAGACTCCGAGGTACATGTACGCCATTTATCGCTAGAGCGATACGTGGGATTCGTCTTTATGCCGCGGCCGAAAGGCCCACAAATCCCCAACTGGCAACAGCTCTTATTTAGGCGTTGCGAAAGAGGCATCACGGTGCGGGAGCTCGTGCTTCGTCCGCCGAGATCCACAATACAGGACACCTAAACTTAACTTTCGTGGGATGGATCACGCTCGTCGCGTTATATAAAATCGCCGTGCAGACCCCCACCGTCGAATCTGACCCACCAACTCGAACATGTCGGCCCCCATGCTTCCGGACAGGATCACTCCCCTCACCCAAGCTCAGTTCTCGGAAACCTATGGTACTTCATGCCTTGATTGCCAGACTGCAGTCGCCGATGATTTGTGCAGGTGGCTCTCTCATCTGTTGTATGGTTTCACTCCCAGTTTTCGGCATTTCACTCCTTCAAGTTGATTGCGGTTCTCTCGCGCTTTTGGTGGTCCATTTAACCTCTTCCCAGACCTACATCTACTACCTCAACTACCCGCGGGACAGCAAGTGGCTGAAATACATGGTTCGTCCCTTTCTGTACGACCTGTGTTCCCTCTGACTGCTGCATTTTCAGGTCGCTGTACTCGTGTATGACCTTCGATGGCTTCATTGCAGTTTTATCCCTTAACGTTCGACAGGTTCATTGAGTCCGTCCAGACTTGGATGAGTGAGTAGTCGTTCATCGTAAATTAACGCCGCGATGACACAATGATAAACCAGTTTGCCATACCGTGTACCACTACTCGGTATGTCGCTTGAATTATGCCCTTTCCCCTTCTGACAATTATGTAGATCCTGAGCTACAGCAACCCGCTCTCTTTGATCGACGGGGAGTGGTGAGTTCCCAAAAAAATCGTCAAGGCTCTCCCTCATTCCTCGTTGTTCAGGTCTGTCTACGTGAGTCAAGTTTCGAGTTCGATTACCGTCCTCTCATTGGCCACGACCCCAGACTGCCATCGCTCTCGGCGTGAGTGGTCTTTGTCTCCTTCTGACCGGATGTTCAACCCGGCATCGTCGAACAGATACCGACCTGCTTCCTCATCCAAATGTGCGAAACGCGGACCGGATTCTTGAGGAGCTTTTAATTAATTGACTTACCCCAAAGCTATTTCGCCCGGATGGTATACCTCTGTAAGAATTCGACCTTCTATTGGCCGACGCATATTTACATTAACGTGATATTCAGTGGTCAAGAAAAAATGGAGGCTTGCAACCGCCATAGTTTTCGTGCGACCTGTGCCCCCATGGGTTCGATTTCACTGCTGATTATTCCCAGGGTGTGCTTATAGTCGCGCAAATTGGTAGGAGATATTCTTGTTACTCGTAGGCCTGAGACCTGATCACCTATACAGGTTTCGGGCTATGTGAATACGCTACACTCCCCGCGCTGCGCTGCTGACGAGTCCGTTTCGACCCTTAGGTGTAGCAATCAAGTTGTGAGTGAATTCTCAGATGTTCACTTTTCGTTTACTGAATGGTTGGTCAGTATTTTGATTTGGGAGTTGCCTAAGCTTCACACAATCGTGGTATGACCGATCCAATGTCGCCACCTGTATTCCAAAAACCTATCACCGTGCCTTAGTATTGGGCGCTCGTACCGCTGTACTCGATCCGTGTTCTTTCGGATACTCTTACCGCGACGGTCCTTTGCCTGGTGCTATATGACGCGAGCACCCGTTCGGTGTACAGGAGGTGAGTGCGATTCAACATGTCTCTCTACCAAACTACTACCAAGCCGACAGGTCCACCAATATGTTCAAGACGTTGATGATTTACGCCATGAACCGATTCGTTCTTACAACGTGAGATTATTCGAATTTTCAACCAGAGTTCAACACTGATCTCCTTGGACCAGCGTTGCTGTAATCATCCAGACTTGCGTGGTAAGTGGACTATCTGCTGCGTGCAATCCAGCACACTGAACATCTCCCTAGCTGATCGCCAAGCCTCAATCCATCTGGGCGATGGCAATGGACTTTGTCACCGTGCATCGTGCGTACTCTACCTGTTCACCGAATCAGCCTATCCAGTCTGATCTCTTCCTTCGAAAGTCTACGTCAACAGCTTCCTGGCGACGCTCAACGCGCGCAACAGCGTGCGGGGATCCGGTCCCGACTCCACCACCGGTGGTGTCAACACAGAAGGAAGCACCCTGCCGAAATACCCGCCTTCGCGCTATGGCAACAATCCCAGCGGCGAGCGGGCGGAGGCGGGTGAGAAACCCGCGGTCAACTTGTTCCTTGGCCAGAGGGGGGATAACGCGGGAGTCAGGATCAAGCAGGAGACATTCGTCATGAGCGATCTTGCGGATCCTCGACGCTTGGAGAATAAAGAATCGATGTCTGATTTGGCCTAGCGCTGAGTATATATTGGAGAAGTATTTCATGTATACGAAGGCTATTCATGATCTCTTTGGGACATTAGAGTACATGTAACACAGGGCGGGACGAAATTTACGGCGGACTTCGTCCCGTAGCTGCAATCTCCGCAAGATAAATCTTGGTGTCCTCCATGAGAATCAACCTCTTCGCCCCCGCAAACACCATGTTCGACGAGCTAACACCAAGGAATATCTTCCCCAGCAGTGTGCCTTTGGGATCAAATACCTGGAGAAGGTTCAGATTTATTAAGCAAATCGATACTCGGCGAAGAACAGCGCCTACATGGGTCCCATCTCCAGATCCAGCGTACAGATTGCCGTTGGTATCGAGCGCCAGGCCGTCAGGAACCCCCGTGTCCGAAAACGCAAACACCCGACGGTTACTGAACGCCTGGGTATCGGGCAAGACGTCGAAGGCATAGCTGGCGTGCAGTCGGTTGGTTGTCCTTCAAATCAATATGAGATACACCACACTCACATCGTTGCAGGAGCCGTTGGAACCAGCCCGACGGTTCCGGCCTGGCTTTCCCCCGTGTCCGCACTACATAGAAATAAACCGCCGTTAATCGACTGATTTATTGAAGACACCGCGATGCGAAGGGCGTACATATAGGCCGTATTGCCATCGGACGTAAACGCGATTCCATTCGGCTGAACGAACCCGTCCGCGACGACGCGCACTTCGCCCGTATCTGCGTCGAAACGGTACACTTGGTTCGGAATTTGAGGCGCCGGCCGGAAACCGTTCTCGAACCCGTAACTGCACGAACCGCGTCAGCGTAGAACTCAGCTACGGGGATCGGGGCGTACGTGACGTCTGTGAAGAATATAGCGCCGCTCTTGGGGTGGACCTTGGCGTCGTTGAGTGAGTTGAATTGGCGCCCGTAGTAGTTATTTAATATGATCGTGTCGTTGAATGGTGGGCTGGTGTTCATTCTGATGAGGCTCGGAGGGAGGGCACCCTGTCCGGTGGTCACTAGTAGCAAGTCTTTGCGGAACAACGTAGCGCCGTTGTTTATTTGAACATCGTTGCTGAGGGGAAGCTACACAAACGTTAACCCAGAGATGGATGCAATATAATTTGCATACGATGGTAAAGTTGATCAAGCCCGTCGGGCTCGTCTTGAGGTCATTCAAGTTTATCATGGAGACCTGAGATTCAACAGTGTTAAGCTCACGCTCGTATTGGTTGAGTGTTGATTACCGGTCGCCCTTGTACTTTTCCTCCAGTGAAGAGTATCTGGTCCGTCTCCTCGATCCACACACACCCATCATGCGCGAATGCGAAGGTGTCGTTTTCCACAATGACGCGAATGGACGGGTTAGGGCCAAGAATCGCATTGAACCTCTCGTCGTACACTTGGAAGTACGGAGGAGTCAGGTTGGCATTTGGGTTGGGTTCAAAATGCCCAGAGACGTTGCGGAAGGGGCCGGTGGGATCCAAGACGGCGAAGGCTCGCTTGTCTTCGACCTGGAATCAAACCCGTCATGTCAAGCATCTGCGAGGAAATGGTACTGGACCCACAACGACCGGAGGTTTCCCGAGTACAAGCGCCGCAAATAAAAGTAAAGCAAAAGGGCTCATTACTCTGTTTGAGCAGCGCGCGAGAGGAATGGCCAAGCTTTCTGGCCAAGCTTTATACACAACGGCCCCACACAAATTGGCTCCCATGGTCAAATCCGGTTCGCGAGGAGCGTCGCCGGTATTCCCATGTATGCCATACAAATGCCACGGCTGCGAATTGGTAAACGGCGAATCCCAAAGGGATAGCCGAAAGAGTGCAGTTCCAATCGTCAAGCAAGGAGTGGGGCGAGCGTAATATTACTGGACTTGACTGTGACTTTGGATCTTGCGTCGTTGGAGGAAAGCCTAGACCTCCTGGCCGGCACCGGTGTCAACCATCGTGGTTGAACTTGGAGGAGAGTGGAGAATGCCACTTCAACAGCCTACCACAAGCGGCGGATTGAACTTGGAAACGTCACCGTCGTGAGAAGAACTTAGCATTGGGGAAGCGGGCATTCAAGTGGGAGCTGCGTATTGCTCTGCCAGTGTGGGTCTATAGATCTAGGGAATTCCTTGTATCGCGGTATTGTGTTGGAGCCGAAGAGGAAAAAAGCCGCTCCGGGCCTGTCCGGGCTCAGACAACTGGTTGAGGCTGCGAAGGCGCATCATGGCCGCCAGATTCCGGAAGGGAGAGGGATTTGAGAGAAGGCTGGAGCTGAGTGGAAGGTTGTCCGGGAACCCGGAGGTCGTCGTTCGCAGAGACTTAGACTCGAGAGTGTCAGTGATCCAACTTTGATCGATCAAAACGCCGCTCGAAACATGGACAAAACCCTGCGGACGCCCTGGCCTTCAACGTAAGGCAATATGCATCGGCGGCATAGCTCAGTTGGGAGAGCAGCAGACTGAAGTCGTTCGGTAAATCTGAAGGTCCGGTGTTCAAGCCACCGTGCTGCCATTGCTTTTGCATCCCTCCCAGATCCTTTTGTTTCGTCTTCATCGGGACTTCAGTCTTCAAGAAACGCGGAGAGAGTCACCACAACCGACTGTGTTCAAGCCGGACGATATGACTATTCTACATGCTCGTGCTTGAGCCACGGCGGTTATTATTTTAAGATGTGTATTGAGGAGAATTGGTTCACACAGGACCAGCAACGAAGAAATTGAGGGACTTGATAGCGGTTAAATCACCTCCATGTTTGCATCCTCATCTTCCAGTGCAATCTCCTCGAGCTGCGCGGCCAACAGCGCCAATTGCAACCGGAGCTCCGCGAGCGATATCGACACGGCTTCGCTCTTGACCGGGCGCTGCTCCTCCTTCCAACTCCTGGACCCAATCGCTACGCGCGTATGTGCAGCGCCTCCGCGGCAGGGGCGGCGACGGACATGAGCTCGGGGACGAGCCCTTGTAAGGAGGCGGGACCTCCAGGGTTCGCACGAGCCTTTGCGTGGCGGAAGAAGCTTGCGGTCGACAGGTGGCGCGTCGCGTGGAGGACTTGAGCAGGGTCAGCGGGGCGAATTTCGTTCGGAGGAGAACGCACATTGTTGGCTGAGTTCGCCAGGAAATACTTGCCACTCAGGCCTTTCCCACAACCGCGCTTGCACGCCTTTTCTGATAGTTGTTGGCAGTTGGCGATGGGCAGAGGTGACTAAAAGATCTTTCGGCGTCGTCCCCTCCCAGGTCGTTGGTCGCGAGTCGGCCCTTGGCGATCGCGTCCTCGTAAGTCAGAAGATCGGTGTTGCCCGTCATTGGCTTGAGGCAGTTGGTCGTTCGGTGCGCCGGTGGAAAGCACAAGCCTTATTGTGGATACAGCGTCGGCGGAACGGCTGGGGGCCACAGGGGAAGACGTAGGAGCTGCCCCAGTCAGGGCTTGTACGGCGTACGGATGTGCTGACTGCGGGACACAAGCTGCTTAGGACGGAATAGGCGGACTAGGCGGTTGTTGCTTGTCGGATCCTGTGAACCGCTGCGTTGACGGGACGGTGGCCTCGGCAGGTCTGGGTGAAGTTTTGCACGGAGGGAGCTCGAGGCGATGGCGGCCACATATATCTTGCGCTTCAAGACGATGGGACATGGAAGTCAGAGGGAAATGCCAGTGATATGCTAGATGCAGCAGGGTGAAACTAGCGCTGTGCGCTTGAGAGAGTCGTGGTCTAGAAAAGGCGTCGTAGACGAAGACAAAAAGGGCGGCCACATGACATTCCCATCAGGACCTTCCGGAGTTGCGCCTTTCTCGAGTCAACCACAGTCAACCACCACCACAAGTTTTGGACGCTTTCTCAGTACAACCGCTCTGGAGGCAAAACGTTATGTTCAATTTCCGTTTCCGTTAGGACTGAACTGAGCCTCAACTTTCTGCGCATATGCTCTCTTCTGCTCTCTTACGGTGCCAGTACGAAGCTCGCGTCTGCTCGGGCTTAGACTCTTCCTGACCGGAACTACCACTGCAAAACCTAAGATTGCGTCGAACTCGGAAAGAGTCGCAGTGGGGGTTCGCTGTCTCCTCGGGTTTGAACCCGGGAATTATTTTGGGCGAATTGAAGGGGAAACTCTTGCCAGCAATACGTCGAGATTTCATCAGTCTCAAGGTACAACAATGTGTCTTCGAAGTGGTCTCTTTTACATCCGATACAGAAAAAGTGGACAGTGGGGCAGGTCGGAGTGGCTCGTTGGAGCCATTACGCACTGCAGGGCTACGAGACGAACTCGCAGGCTCCACGCTCAACCGTTCGCCGCCATCTGTACGCCTGCGACCCCATATCCACCTTACCGGCCACCGCTGGCTAGTCCAACGTTTCCATGTCGATCTGGTTTGGCGGCTGAGGTTTGGATTTTTGACCCCGGTCACTCGAGCTCATTGTTCGCAAAGAAGTTGAGCTTCAAGTCTGAACAACGTAGAGTCGTCCTCTCCGTGAAGTCACACCATTGGCGACTTTGGAGCGTCCAGCAGTCGGGGTTACGAAACTGGAGTCTTATGTGCAATCTTGCCGGTGGCGGCTGAATGCACGACGACTTTCTAATCCTTTTCATAGCACATTCCGAATTTATCTGGTGTTCGCAGCTTTCGGAACTTGGGCATCTGGCGTTCCAACTCCACGTCGGAGGTAGCTGTATGCCGTGGCATGGGAGAACGACTCCTTCCCCACCTACTTAAGATGCGTCTCGACTTTCCACAGGGTTCGATTTCCTCAATGACGCCTCCTACCGCGGTACTTTACCCTCCCGGCTATCTCAATAAACTTGGTCTACCGTTGATAATCGGTGAATTGTCTCATTCGAAGGTTTACTTGTACTAACGTGAAGACGGAAACGACGAAAGGCGCAATGCTCACGCCACCGTATGCATAATCGTCTTCCTTGGTGACCCTCATACCCATAGTTCCAACAGTCTCTACGGAATCACAGTTGCACAAGTTACATATTATTTTCGCTCGTTCCCCAATGACCCTATCCATGTCAAGCTCGTGGTATGTCTCGCTCGCTATATATTGTGGCACAAACCTAATATCTGATTTAGGTCGGAATATTGTTGTACGAGAACAGTCCTACTCTTTGATGCGAATATGTGAACGACCATCAAGTCTCCTCGACACAGCGCACATCATCTGTTTCTTGCAATCCGCCTATGAATGGTTCATAACCAAGCTACTCGCACCGATTCTACCCATGTACCGGTACCCATGTCCAATCCTCATCTTCGTCTGACGGCTTTCATGCAGATTATTCTGTGTCCGTGATGCTCGCCACTTATACGTTGAACTAATATTGTTTCTAATCAGATTGCAGTGGTCCTTACGGTGAGTTTTATCCAGCAAGGCTTATGATTCCATCGTGTTGGATTCGCATAGTACATAATCATCTTTATTGTTCAATGGTATCGTATCTCTCGCCCTGGCCTCTGAATTTCCGGCTGATCCCACGCACAGCTCGTACGCAGCAAGATTATACATCTGTGCGTCTCATTTCGGTCGACTGCGATCCCGGAACTCACGGCATACAGTGAGCAACAAAAACAAATTTGTCGCTCCACTTGTGGCGAGTTTTTGACTCTCGTTGAGTCCACATCCATCTATTAAATCGGTCGGCACAGATAATCCTCGCTTGCGGACAGATAGGCAGGTCTCGTAGGGTTTACTTCCGGTTATTAATCCTGAGTCGCATGTAGGGAGTGGAATAGGTGAGCTGTTTTTGACTACGCTCCCTTTGGCTGATGATCGCCGAAAGTCCAATCCGTCGACACGTTGAAAAACGAAACCCCCGATGTCACCCAAACCTCCGGCAGCTTCAAAGTCCGTAAATCAATCAATTTCCTGCGGCCATTTAAGAATTTCAACCAAGCAGATCTCTGGCAAGTTCGAACTCAGCTCAAGTCTAGTATGCGACGTCCTCATTGCTGGGGCGATGACGTACTTCCTCCGGAAAAGCGGAGGCAACATCCCTATCCGCAGGTGCTCCCAGACATCGGGACCATTGTTAGATGCTAATTCTTTTTACAGAACGTCAGAAGTTGTGAATAGTATGATAATATACTCCATCAGCGTCGGCTTCTTCACAAGGTCGAACGGTTTCGCGGCATTGATACCTATCTGACAACCACAAGGTAGTGTTGCTACTGCTTTAAACCTGGCCCTGGTGCGTATTCATATCCGCTATCCAACCACATTCCGACATCCTCCTACTAGTGGGTCGCGCTGCCGGAAAATTTCACTTTCATAATCTTTCACTTGATCCTCAGCAAACGTCCGTATCTCAATCGACTATCGGTTATAATTTATGCCAGGCTCACCAAACTTCAGTCTACGTCAATTCCCTCCTTGTCATGTATGTATTCATCTGTCGCTTCCCATTCTCATTGCTTGATATTTTTCCTTTGCCATAGGTTGAACTCTCGAGTCAAGTTGAGACGCCACTTCTATACCGACGAAATGAGTGGGTGCATCGTCTCCTTGCCACGATATCGACTAACTGGTATCATCCCAGTCACGCTCGACCTCAGTGCTTGATTGCTGATGACGGAAGGTCGAATTCTCGTAGCGAATTGACGAAAGTTGTAATATAAGTATGCACCCATCGAACAGAGGGCGAGGAACCGTTACAACAGCAGAAATTTACTCAGAGATTCTGTGGCGCGAACCCCTCGAACAGTGGTTTGAACACGCGACTCCGCAACGCCGAGGGAATCGACCCAGCACCTCTCTCGTTGTGCAGTTTTTGTTGCGTGCTCGAGGAGGGTGCTCATCGCGGGGGAGGCAGAACTCCGTCCTCGATGCCTCCTCGACCAGCGCCAATCGTGAGCGGGAGTTGCAAACAAGCTGCAGAGGTAACATTTCACCATCCCAACATTCGGATCAGTACCGAACGATTGCCGGCGAACTGGGTTGTTTGTGACCACGATGCGCGACTGCGAGCTCGAAACCCTTCTCCTCTAGCGTGTTCCCCTCCATCGAATTGCAACAAGGAATCTCTGAAAATGCCAGCTCCAGCATAACCGACCACGACGTCCAAAAACCAGGTTTCCGAAGCTGGCCAGTGAGCGGAGTTCCGACTGGCGCCAATCTGCTTCCAACAGTGTCGCATCGCTAACAATGAACACCGCTAGCCACGGGGAGGTAAAGATTGATACACACAGAAGCGCTGGTGCTATCGATCTATCCCTGGATGTTGAAACGACTAGCGCCAGTCGTGAGATCGTCCGGTGACGAACTCCACTCTGATACTACTTAACGCACGCGTCTCCGGATTTCCCGAGAGTATTAACTGATGGCGACGCCCACCGAATTCTATCCACCAGGCTACCTCGGTACATTCGGCGTCCCGTTGATAACTGGTGAGCTTGCCTGGTCACTTGAAGTTTACTTGAACTGATGCAACGGCAGCCGCCATGCTCACACCGCCGTATGCAGGGCTCTTCCCCGTTTAAGCTCACCCTCAATAGCTTCGGCAGTCTTTATGGAATC